TTGAGAATAGACGGATATTATGAAATAAGTGGTGATGGATCGAATATAAACAATATGGATTTATTAATCGTTTTTGTGGAAATTTTGGGAAAAGAATTATGCCCGAATTATTTAGGAGCTTTTGTACAAAGAAGATGGTTCAGAAATATATAGAACCTGGGCCCAATCATTGTACACGTACTGTATATAAAAATTGTACATTATATACATATATGTATATACAAAAGCAAATCAAATTGAACACGTTTTTTTTTTCAATTTTGTTTTATTGAATGTTACAAAATAAATTCAGAATACAACGCTTGCAATACAATCGATCAATCAAATTATTTATTTGCAAGAAATATATAAGGTTATTTATTTAAATGACATATTTCTACTTATATTTTTTCTTTTTTAATGAATGACAGAGTCGCTGTATCCCTATCAAACAGTTGCACTCTTTTATGTTTCGATAATTTTGTAACATTCCTCCAAATACGGTTTTTGGCGTATCATTTTATCAATTAAATTTTTATTGTCTATATGTACACTTTACAAATCAATATTAAGTTCTTATAATATTTTCCTTAAGACCTGAAATTGTTTGACTCTCTTCAATTGAAGTATTTGGAAGACTCATCATAGTCGTTTCAAATATGGATGAATTTGTAACAGAACATATCTTGTAGAGAATAGACTAGAATAGACCAGAGGGAGACTTTGTACAAAAGTCGATTGCTTGGGTACCTCTGTCCCATTCGTGTTTCAACCGTGAAGCAGTTGTGTTTGCATAACTGTGTTTCGGTTTGAAGGATGGGATATGGCGAGAATTTACTGGGTACAGAGGAATAACACCTGAGTCCTTAGGAATGGCAACGCATGGGGGGTATCATGGGCGAAACAGTATATCTATTATGTCCATGGTACTGCTCATGTCTATAGGCGACGGTCACTTTCCATCAGGTGGGCCGTCAGCGTGTTTGCCATTCTAAGTAGTATAAAAAAAAAAAAAAAGAGAAGTTGATTTTAGTCATGCAAAATCTATAGCATTAGCTGGTTCTAGATCTGCTGTTATATTAATTTTCTTCAATCATCTTTTTCATGTTTCAATACTGATGTTTGAAAACAATTTATATACTCATAGAATCTACTCATCATTTCCAATATAGGCACCAGAGATAAAAATGAGAGGTGACGTTATATTCGTCAATACATGAAGTTCAAGTTACCAATATAGTAACGTATAATCAATATTTACTATATGTAGGACAGCTAGAATTTCTATTTTCGTTATACGTCGCTTCGTAAATAGACAGACATATTGATTTACATTTGAACAAATATTTGTCAGAGAGAGAATTTGTACAAAAGTCGTTCGGATGGGTATGTACTTGAGTATGTCTCTGACCCCTATCTTTCACTCGTAATTCTGTCTGATTGTTTTTGACATGAAGGGTTGTTTAAATCAGATGTAATGAAATGGTAATCCCACCTGCATTTTTGGAATATGTTGGTAGGGCACAAGTAAGAGAGTTAGGTACAAATGAAAACAGGTCAATTGGTCCGTAGTGATAGATCAATAAAATTACACAACAAATTAGGATTTGATGCTAGTTGGAGTTGATGGAGAGGAATCCAGAAAAATTTAACAATGGATGAGGTCGACCTCAATAGATACTTACAGGATATGAAAGTATAACTAATGTTCTAGTCATCAGGGATGATAACAGATGATGATTCTTAAAGACAAAAGTAGGTTTACCTCTGTATTGGCCCCGAGGACTAGTTTAATTCTATATTCTATATATATATATATATAGTTACAGCAGGTTTATGTACTGATTTTAGACATAATATTAATGATTTTAGACATAATATTAAAAGTCGATTCAGAATTTAACAAGTACTCGGCCTCTCTTATAGTAAATGGTTACCGTAGCCGCTCCCAATACTAGACATGTCATGCGCGCATTGCCGACCCTTAAGAAATCTTATTACGCCCCTTTCGAAGAATCCAATGCTGTAATCTCTGGGGAAAACCTCGAGGAACATACACAAAAATGTACAAACGAATTTAGAATTTCCTCTTTTTAGTAGTTGCTTAAAAAAGCCTGAACTTTAATATTTTATGAAATGAAATCTCTCTAGATTTTTTTATTTATCTATCCAGATATTCGTATATATATAATAGTAAGAGAAAATACAAATAACAAAATGAAGTTATAGAGTTTTGTCACTAAGATGGGGGTTTTATCGTGGGCAATTGATGAGTTCAGTTATTGTGTTGAGTGTTCTTTGAAAGTTATATTCCGGAGTGGCGGCCAATATCAATCTAGACTGTAGTTATAACTTGTCATTGGAAATTGTTTTATTGACTAGTAGTACAAGTTCTTATTTTATTTTTAAGCGACTTTCAAATGGAAGATTCTCGATTCTTCTGTATTTATTACAACTATGTTTCGCAATTACATCATCAATTTTGGATTTTAATAATACTTTGTCGAAACTATAGGGTTTAAGTTCTATGATGTTCTACAACTATTTTGTAGTAATTGATTTGTTAGTAATCGTTTTCATTTTCAGAAAGAAACTCAAAGAAACTGTTTGCTTGTAGTAAGTAATTTTATTTGTAAATTTCATTCTTGATTAAAATATTTTTAACCGACTTTATAATTGTAAGAGGTTTCTAAATTTGTTTTTTTTTTATGTTTGCTCTGTTTATATCACCGTCAATTCTAAACCAATTTGTAAAATTGTTTTTTCTTTATCTGAAACGATATACCTTCAAATTGGTCCCGTGGAAATAGTATCAATAGTTCATTTTTTTAAATCTTATAACCAATATTGGTCAAATAAATAACAATATTTTTGTAACCGAAATCTTTTTTTTTTTTTTTTTTTTTTTTTTTTTGTGAAACACTAGTAAATTATAATTTTAATATATTTTGTGTTTATAATAAATTTATACTTTTATGGTTTATAAGAGATGGGAATTAAAATGGCGATAATTTAGGTAAACTATGATAATTTATCTAAATAATTTCGATATTTTAAGCAGTTTACACATCAAACTATTTGTGTCACAAATAGCTGTGTAGGGCATAGAATATACCACCCCATAATATCGTAGCGTAGCAACTACTGGCAAAACACCCCTCATGGGGAGGCTTTAAATGAATGAATGAATGAATGAGTATACTTTATTTGCATTATACAATATAGGAAATAAGCAAGACAATTTACAAACACAACGATACAATTGTATAAGTACATATACAGTAAGGCGGTCTTATTGCTGAGAGCAATCTTTTCAAGACAACCTTAATGCTTTGTTCGGCAGTGGAGAGTTAACTGCTGGTACAATAAACCTGTAATACCTACAATATATGTATATAATGGGAGATAGCGTCACAGATATATATGTATGTATTATTTGGTGAGCTGTCAGGTTATGAGTATTCGGCATTCTAAGTTGCATAAAAAAAAAATTAAAAGGACAACAACTATACTAGTTGTAGTTTATAATGAAATAAAATGCAAATTTTTAATTTGTTTCACGTAAATATCAAGGAATAACAATAACAATACCAGAGGGAGACTTTGTACAAAAGTCGTTTGCTTGGGTACCTCTGTGCCATTCGTGTTTCAACCGTAAAGCAGTTGTTTGCAGTGCCGTATTTCGGTTTGAAGGGTGGGATAAGGCGTTAATTTACAGGGTACAGATGAATAACAACTGAGTCCTCAGGAATGGCAACGCATGGAGGGTATCATGGGCGAAACAGTATACTAAGTTATGTCCATGGTACTGCTCGTGTCTATAGGCGACGGTTACCACTTCCCATCAGGTGAGCCGTCAGCTTGTTTGCCATTCTAAGTAGTATAAAAAAAAAAACAATGAAAGTGCGAGGTCCATTATAAATGCAACTAATATCACTCCTCCAATAATATAAACGATTCCTATTTGATTAGGGCATTGCTTAATTTTCTTACTGGTGACGATTCGTGGAAACTTTCACTTCGGCCGTTTGCGTAAACAGGAAAATTGGTCATTTTCAGATGTAACGAAAAATGCGGAATTATCTCTATTTAACTAAATATTCACGGCACGCTCGCCTTTATCCGCGCAACTTGAATTCTGTGATTTATTTTTATTTATTTTTTCATTACTTCTTCGTTTATTTTAGTTATTTATTATCGTGTCCGATCATGAATATGCTTCTTCTTTTATTTCTTTTCTTGCTGTTTATTTTTAATTGTTTTTTTTTTATTACAACTCGAAAGAAAATTAGCTAGCTCGCTTGATAGATCGTTGTGTCATCTCCCTACGCTTATCTCAGAATTTATATATAATTACTAGCTGACTCGGCAAACGTTGTTTTACCATATACGTTATTTCGAGAATTAAACATGAAAGTTTATCCTATTACAATTATTATTTTCGATTGCCATCTTGCAAGCTTATTGCGGCATATAAAAATCGCGATTAAAAAACAGGGGTTGATCGTAAAAGCGTGAAAATTTAAATTTGTATGTATTTTTCAATGCTTAATCATAATAAAATAAAAAAAGTTCAAAAAATAAAAAAAATTAGAGGTAAGTCTCACCGTTATCATTGAGGGGTATGAAAAATAGATGTTGGCCGATTCTCACACCTACCCAATATGGACACAAAATTTCATCATTTCGGTAAAGCCGTTTTGGAGGAGTTTGGTAACAAACACCTCGACACGAGAATTTTATATATTAGAGATTTATATATTTTATAGTTTATTATTCAGGTTCAGCGTAATATGGTTTTCTTTTGCATTCTTCTCTCAACTTCTATTCTGGTCTAATAATTTTTCACACAATATATTCATGTCTTTTCAACAGACTTTGAAAAGAAGGAGATACTCAAGTCAACCTATTTGGAAAATTATTTTTTTATCTGAATGTATATATATAGTATTACATACAGTTGAAATACGTTACAAGCATTTTTTGTAATTGAATAAAAAAAGAAATAAAAGAAAGCTCACCTATAACAACGCCGTCCACACTCGGTCCAAACGCGTAAGCGAAGTCGGGTGCTTGAACTGGTGCAGACAATATTGCTTCCAACGGCCGCTCCCGAAGACACCGCAGTAATGCAGGAGGCGTTAGTTCTAAAAGAAATATTTATTCATAAAGTTGTTTGTATTACACAATAATCGATTCTCCAAAAAAAAAAACCACTAACTTCTAACCATCGTTATTGCTAGTAATATACCCTATCAGGTCGCGGTTCCCCCTGGAACCAGAGGAGAGGGAAACTTTATATAAAAGTCGTTTGCTTGGGCACCTCTGTCCTATTCGTGTTTCTACCTTGAAGCAGTTGTGTTTGCATGGCTGTGCTTCGGTTTGAAGGGTGGTATATGACAGTGTATTTACAGGGTACAGAGGAATAACACCTAAGTTAGGAATGGCAACGTATAGAGGGTAACATGGGCGAAACTCTGTTATTTCCATGGTACTGCTCATGTCTATAGGTGACGGTTACCGCTTTCCATTAGGTGAGCCGTCAGCTTGTTTGCCATTCTAAGTTGCATAAAAAAAAAACTATAGTGTTTTTTTTTATTTGTAACGATAGGCTAATTGACCTATTTTCATCTTCACCTAACATCTCTCACTGGTGCCCAGCCAGCGTATACCAGATGGAGTAACCATTCCATCGCTAAGAACAAAGAATTAAATAAATAAATAAATTACATAGTAATAAAATTGTCATTTCATAGCAGGCTAGTGTATAGAAAATGTTATACTGCCGTATAACCCTACCAAATTTAAATACAACCTGCTTACATACTTTCTACATAAACTGTGTCGAGTATATAATCTAGTGATGTAAAATTTGTCATTGACAAATAATTGACATATCAAACATTTTCTATACACTAGCCTGCTATGAATTGAGAAAAATAACAACTGATAGTGTATCTTTCGTCCCCTTTTTACTAATTATATTTACATAAGAAGAAAGGAGGCAACCATATGATTTATAGTTTTTATTTTATCATTCCTTCTATGTAATTCCTTGTTCTTAGTTCCATCGTCACCTATTTAAAAAAAGAAACCTTCAAACCGAAACACATATGTTTTTTTAATTCTCGTATTGTTAATATAAATTTTAACCAGCCAGTTTCGAGTACATTGCACTCGTAATATGATATTTCAAACACTATCAATTTATGTACATTAATTAAATAGCTAATATGTATTTATAAATTAATATGTTATTATTATATGCTGTTATTGTAATTGAGTTGTAATTATTATTCATTCGTACACAAAGACTGAATCGCATTATTTTAATTATGTTCGAGAGCGGAATAATGTTTGGAAAATTTATATTAATTATTATTAATATATATTTTATAACAATTTTTATAATTCAAAACAATATTGTCGTATTCAGCATATACTTTCTATGTTGTTATTTTATAGCATTAACATATCCCAATCTTGCAAGAACAGTTACTTATCGGCAGGGATTCGAGTGGGATAGAAATACCCAAGCGAAAGAAGAATGTTCTGAATATGTCTGAGTTTCTCTAACTGTGTTATACGATATGTATATAGATTTCAAATTCACATTTAATACACACGTTTCCTATATAATTTTCAAAGCAGTGAAAATGCTTAGCTTCGTGATTAGTAAAGGTAAAGATTTTAAAGGTTTAAAAAAAGCAACAGCTGCGTTTCTTGTCCGTTCTTCTCAGCTGTAATTGCGAGCTGGGCGGTAGATTTATAAAAGAATTACTATTAAAAAATGCTTATTTATAATATTAAGTTTCCTTGAATAAACATTATTTTTTATTCAAGCAGTTGTATTTGCATGGCTGTGTTTCGGTTTGAAGGGTGGGATATGGCGTGAATTTACTGGGTACAGAGGAATAACACCTGAGTCCTCAGGAATGGCAACGCATGGGGGGGTATCATGGGCGAAACAGTATACTCTGTTATGTCCATGGTACTGCTCATGTCTATAGGCGACGGTTACCACTTTCCATCAGGTGGGCCGTCAGCTTGTTTGCCATTCTAAGTTGTATAAAAAAAAAAAATATTTTATTTTATTTATGTTGGTCCACTCTATTGCTTCTATATATATGATGCACTAAGATCACTTTTGGAATATGCATCTAGGTCCTAGGTACAGTGTAGAATCTACAATATGTTATCATATGTATGTAAATCAATAATTACTAGTACCGCATTCGAGTATTCTGACACTTCCCTATGGTTGACTGGGAGAGAATGCTTTTAGCATTAAGTCCGCCATGTACACATATTTGTACTAATGAATAAATTAATAAATGTAGTCGCAACATGAATTTTATGAACATGCTTTCATTCCGTCTTTGGCGGATCGTCGAAAAGAAATTGACCAGATGTTTTTATATAAGATTATAAATAATTATGGCGAGGAGGTCGACTTGACGCTTGTTGCTAGCAATGGGCACGCTAGTCCCCAACACTGACAATCCCTTTCCCCCCACTTTATTATATTAGATAGTAAGAAGTAAGATGAAATGATGAGTACCAGGTGAACAGTTGGCGTGCGTCGCAACTATTGCAGCGTATTTGTTGGGGTCCGCAACCAATGACCATGGACTCAGGCCCGATCCAGACATGAGGATCGCTCTATGAAACAGTAGACCTGCAACAAAGAGAATAGATAAATAGATAGATACTCTTTATTGTTTCCTCCAAAAGATTACAATAGTAAACTTACTATAAATATAAACAATTACAAGAAATAATCACAGTGAGAAAACAATGGGCGAACTTATCGCTTAAAGCGATCTCTTCCAAGCAACCTTTGGATGGAGAGGAGTAATTATAGAGAGTTTGATCGGAGGCACGATGAAAATTCTATTATTTCTAAATATGGAGATGTGATACAGGAGGAAAATATGAATGACTAGTTTTTGACCGCGACTTCGTCCGGATGACATGGATAGGTACATTGATTGGAATATAAAGCAGCCTATCTTTTAATATACTAGCTACCGGTTTAATTTACGTGTAATTGGAACAAGAAAGCTCGACTAGTTACGGGATCAGTTCGTGATCCTTAAGCATAAGTGGCTGTTTATCAAATTCTATTTTAAGCTTATGTATACTACATTGTTTGAATATTGTAGGTTTGTTTAAATCAAAGCATTTGGCGTTCCACTGTTTATGCCTACCCTAATGGGAGACAGGCGTGACAGATGTGTATGGATGTATATTAAATTTTATGGTTGGTCAAAGCACATTAGCGCCTAAAGGTAATAAATACACAAACAAACTTACTTTCACTTATATATAAATATACTAATGATGCTTTGAATGAGTAGATAGAAAGATAAATAAATATTTTATATTACCTTTAATAGTAAAATTTTCAATAACTTGGATTATATTACTATAATCTATATAATGTAATTGTAAATTAGTAAATTGTAAATAACAAATAATTTGTAGGAATTTATATATATATATAAATTCCTATTCCATACATACACATCTGTCACGCCTGTCTCCCATTAGGGTAGGCATAAACAGTGGAACGCCAAATGCTTTGATTTAAACAAACCTACAATATTCAAACAATGTAGTATACATAAGCCTAAAATAGAATTTGATAAACAGCCACTTATGCTTAAGGATCACATATATATATATATATATATATATATATATATATATATATATATATATATATATATATATATATATATATATATAATTATTTATGGCTTTTGGCCATAACAGAATAGTTTTGCTCTTTTAAGGGCAGAGTAATAAACTGAGCTGTGACCATCTTGTGTTACTGTGGCATATGCACGAAAGAAAAAAATTATATATGTATAGATATTAGCTATATCCCGCAGCCTTGCCCGCTTGAAATATTCTATAAAATATCCTACGTCCTATGTTCGGAAATATTTTACCAGTACACCAAATTTCAATGGTTACTGCATGAAAGAGTAACTAACAAATATTCTTCCGTTGATAAAAACAAATTTCACTCACAGATTACTTTTTTCAAAAACACGCTAAGCATAATAATTTCGACTACACCCCGTATATGACGATACAGACGGGAAAACGTCTGCCGGGTTTTACTAGTGTCACATAAAATAGAACAAATGTCTTTTCGTATTAAAAGAAGATAAAATATGCTACAAAGAGTGCCCAGTGTAGACGTGAGCCGGCAACTACTAGGTATGGGCACAGATGATATAATACGTATGGGTGATATCAGTATCACTCCGATATCTATGTATTAGCAATATCATCTACGTGACCAGCATATTTATTCATTTAAACTTTAATGCACTGTAAAATTGGGCATTGGGCAAACCGAAGAAATACGTAGGTGCGGTGCATTATTGGATAGAGGAAAAATAAAGCAGTACTTGATATATTCATATAATAATTGGAAATATATTGTAACATATATTAATTGAACGGAATAAAAGACAGCCTATATCCATAGATATCATCATCATCATTTCATCATCTATTATTCATCCACTGCGGGATATAAGCCTCCCCCATAGACTGCCATCAAGGATAGTCCTGAGCTACCTGCATCCACTGACTCCCTGTTATGCATTTCAGATCGTCACTCCATCTAGTGGGAAGTCGTTCTACACTGCGTTTGCTTAGTCTCCATCCCCCTACCTCGCCCGCCTACACAACAAGGCGGGCAAGAAGACTTGTGATGATGATGATTAGTCTCCATTTCATATAGTACATGTGTACCAAATAGTCATAGTAATTGGTTAAGTTTTTAAGGCACTAAGAGGCAACCAAAAAATTTAATATCACATTTATAATAATATTAATAAGGATTAGATTCATCTGGACATTAATTCACAACTCCCACTCTTACACCAAAGCCTTCACGGCACAAGCTGCTAGACTTTGGATTACCTCCCAAATGATACCAGAATGGCGTAGTTCGTTTACGCCTTCAAAGCTCAAACAGAAAGATTTTTACAATACAATTGACAGTTGAGTTATTTATATGTACAATAGTTATCCTATGTTTTTTATATATATTTATATATTTTATTTACCTTTGTTTTGTTATTAACTATATAGTTTCTGATATTATATTTAGTTATTTATTATATTATTTTTGCAACATATATGTTATGCTTTATATACTAACCCTATAGATACATTCTCCATTTGGGTTCTCAGGGTTACCTGAAAGAAATCCCTTTAAAGTCCGCCTGTGAATATTTATGTTATAACCTAGTATCTTTATTAAAAATATATGTTCAAAAGTATAAAAAATTAATAAATAAATAACAGTAGAAATAAGCAGTCTACAACAGTCGGATATTTATATTAATTTCGATATTATGTATATATTGGATAAACGTTATTTGATATATGAGAAATTGGGCCGATATATAGATAATGCGATTAAAATATATATTGATATTACTGTATATTATTGCCCATCGCTAGTAACTCCCGAACGTCGTGTGTTACTTATATCTACCTACCTAACTTATACCTACGTATATATAGTTGGTTGATATGAAGCACTTAATCTCAAATATTTTCTGACGGAACGTGCCGCCCGAGAGCTGCGTAATATTATATTAAAAAAAACGAGCGAGCAAGTACAAGAGAAGAGTGAGATTAGTTGTTCAACAACTTTTGAGTATTTTGCTAATAAAGGCTTCTGAATATTTACATTTTAGATTAAGTGAAGTAGAATTTGTAATTACATTAAGATGTATTTTTATTTTTCTGCGTTCCATTTAACTCTTGATTACTTATTCTTTATTTAATTTAAAAATAAATAAATAAAAATAAAATAAAAATCAGTTACCATTCCATTATCATAAAAAAATACTGGTTCACTATGTATTTAGTTTCGGAAATTAGCGTGAACGAACCTTATGACATGAATTTTTTATAAACCTATATATATATATATATATATTACCTATATATATATATATATAATTCCTATATGGTATTGCAGATGAGTGGTCTGGAAGACCGATTGTACCACACCCTCACAGAATAAAATCACCTTTTGTATTATACTTATTAAAAATTTTTGAACAATTTATATGATAATTCCGGGAACAAAGGGCAAACGAAGCAAGATTTCTACGGCATCCCCTTCGCTCAATGTGAGCTTCTGCAATATCAGGGGATTAATTATTAAACGCTGTTCACCACCACCTTTCCAATCACAGATATCCTCTCCAACAAACCACTGACCAAATATAAACTTAAACATTGTTTTGTTTCGCGTGCCGGTGTATGCGCGTATGTCAGAGAGGATATTTTGCCAGTAGGTGCGGACCTGTTTTTTATGGCAACGTAGAAATAGACCATCCTCGCGTCTATGCATGCCTATGATATTTAAAATCGAAACCGACCAACTCATTGAGCACGTCCCTATTCTTCGAACAGATTCATTCTCGTGATTCTTGGCGATTTTAATGCCCACCATACCGAATGGCTTGGTTCACACACACTAAAGATCTGTTCATGACTTTGCTTTGGCTTATGGTCTGACGCAGCTTGTTTCCTCGCCTAAAATAAATAAATTAATAATTTTTCCGTCGAGTGTTATATAAAATTTCATGAGTCCGATTCCACCATTCCAATCGTGTTTGGCACTGTATATTGTATTTAAATTACAAATCCAAAATTACGACATCGGAATTCCATCGCCGATGTGGTGTTCGTGGAATACACTCTGTTCCTGTCGGTGGGAAATCCCAGCCCTGGTATGGAGCCTCTTGTAGAATAGCATCTCGCCTGAAACAAATCTTCCAACTGGGCCAAAGGTCGAAGATTGAATAGTGAAAAGAAAATAACTATTCTTCAGAATAATAAAATGCGACGTTTATATCTCGACTTCTGGTCTCTTGCCAATATTTCAAAACTCGTAACAAAGAGAAGGCTAATCTCCTTGGATCTCTCTTTGCATCAAACTATGACGGGGAGAAACCACCGATATTTAGTAAAGCTCTATGCCGGATGTTATCTATAATCCATATTGAGTACAGAAGCACCAGAGTTGGCTCCGGTTCTTAGTCTTTTTCGGCTCTGTTACTCATCAGGTAAGAGAGATTATTAAAACCCAATTTTAAATAGATTATTCTCGATCATAATCTTCCATCATCCACTGTTGAATGTAGATCGCCAGTACGGCTTTCGACGGGGTCGGCTGGTGATCTTTTAGTTTATTTAACACACCGATGGGCGGTGGCAATCGAGAATAAGGGAGAGGCCACGTTTGGATATTGCGAAAGCCTTTGATCGGTTGGCATACTAATCTCAAAACTACCTTCGTTTGGGTCTTTGTGCAGTTGGGTCGACGTTTTAAGAGAGACACTTGACTTAAAACCTATTGCTTTGTCCATTATGTTCCTTATCAATGATATGTTACAGATCAGTGATATTCATTTTATGCAGACACAGTACAGGAGATGCATTATACACCGGTCATGCAAAGATCTCGCGGGCACATACCGATGAGCTCCGGAACAGACTTGTGTCCGAAACTTCGCTCGACAAAGTTTCGATCTGGGGTGAACGCAATCTTGTTCACTTTATGAAGACACAAATCTGCGCGTTCACCGCAAAAAAGACACCGTTTGTTTATTTGTTATTTTATAATAAGCG